TGTTTTTTTCTGGTGTAGCAATCAATAAAGTTTTATTCTAATTCTAAATGCCACAATTTCACTTAGCAAATTGCCGAAAAACTATCATCGTCTTTCACTCACTTCGTTTTTCCAGTTGCGTCCCAGGAAGTGCTCGGCGACGTGAGCCGGCAAAACGTTCTCCAGCAGAACCCGGTTGAGGTTCTCCATGGTTTCGATCTCCTCGCACTCCCTCTTGAACTTGTCCCTCCACAAGAAGTCCAACCTACAGTAATATTCATTCTGTTACAGGAGGACACAGAGTAAAGAGACACCTGCGTCATTCACGCCCTGCACCCTCTCAGCACAAACTTGCACCAAAAGCAGGGCGGAAAGAAAACACAAATCATCAAGAGAAGAAGTTTTTTATTTTTTTTTAATTCATGTTGATGCAGATATCTATATTTGTAGCATGAACCCCAGCACGGACCACATGTTGTTAAAGAAAACAGCGTTGTTTAGGCCCGCGGCTCCAGAAACCCGTGACGTGAAGGCGTTTCTCAGAGATAGGCTGTCTGAGCATTACCACTGAATGGAAAGTTATGGGATCTCTAGGAAAACCTAACCAGCTGAATCTAAAGGGCATGCTTGTTATTCATAGAAAATTAATGTCCCAATAAGGATGACAATGAAACAATGCGAGAAGCTCCGCTGTTATGGCTCAAGGAAATAGTAAGCGGACAGGACTGCTTTGCATAAAAGATAGCCACCGCTTCTTCTTTTTTTTCTTTTTGGTTATTCATGCTTGAAGGACTTTTAGACACATCGAAATATGTCAGGAAGACTCACATATCGAGGTCAAACCATCCCAGAAGTGTGTGTTTCATCACACAGGCTTCCCTGAACACACCATCATTATGCTCATATATATGTGAGAGCTCCGGGCGACTTGTGGGCTGGCCCCTACAGTCCTCGTGTATGGATGTGTGTGGGAGTGTTTCTAGTCTCCTGTGAGAGATACTTCATGTGTGTTGTTAGCAGTTTGGATGATATATGTGTGCGCTGAATATGTTTCCCTTGAGATTAAAGTATGGTGCCAATTTAGACAACTCCAACAGCGAAGGCCTAAACAGCTCTGCGCTGAGATCCTATGCTATGCTGCTGATAGCCTGAGGCTGAAATAAAAGCACTGACTAGCTTCCAGCCCTCTGAGGACAGATAGTCTGAACCATTTATTGCTGTCTACATATAGGGATGTACAGTTGGAGCGTTTTGCTTCTCTTGTGGCGAGAGGAGTTCCAGTACCTCCATGAGTCAAGAAAGTAGGCCAGAAGAAGCGCAGCTCATTCCAGATGCTGTTTAAAAACCAGCTAACGAGCCCGTAAATGAGTTTTGCTCCATTGCGCGTCTGTTCTTGAGGGATGAATTACAGATGCCTTGTGTCTTGTAACCTGCTTTCTCCTCCCTCTGACTAAATGGCTGGAAAAGAGATCATTAGCGCTGATGATTAAAATTTTGCAAGGCAAATCTGATAACATGCAGGCGAAAGGCATATGAAACCATTTCCGGCATGGATTTACGTACTTTGGCAATGCTCTGAGAACCTTTTTGACCCGTTTCCAGAATTATAATTGATGAAGCATTGTACTGCGCTAATTTATAGCCAAACAACATCCGGAAGAATGAATCCAATTATTCCTTAATAAGTACACCACAAAGAGTTTTACGCAGCAAAATTGTGTTTCCAAAACAAATGCTCCCCTCCCTTCTGGTGACAGTGACCCAGAATGAGAACAACACACGGAGCTGTTTGGACCAAATGCGGCTCTCAGGGGAGCCCCGGTTTTGGGTACAGAAGCTCGAGGGGTTTTCTTTCTGTGCAGAACATCTGCTTTGAGGTCAGAGATGATGGATGGCACCCCGAAAAAAGATAAAACACCCACACCAAATCTGTGTCAACTGAGCTCATATGAAGTGAGGATGGCGGGTAGAGAGGAGGAGGTAGAGGCAGCGGACCGGGCCGGCTGCTCCAACGCTACCATCTGAGCAAATATTTTGATCACACAGAGTCAAATCCTTCAGCACGGATTCACTTGCAGTACATGCATTCTGCAAAAAAGCCAATTTAAATCCACAGGTATGCAATCTCTCTCCTCCACTGGGTGACTTCCTGATTTGGCCACAGCGCTCAGAGGCCTAATGAGATGAATGACCCACATAAGATTCACTATTACGCAGTGATGTCATTGTGGGGGTTGCCCTGAGAAAGCTACTCACCTGTCTTGCTAACACCAGCAGCGTGACGAAGAAGATGAACAGAGACACTGAACCCATGGTCTTCAGATCCTTCAGAACGCCTGGTCTGAACAGAGACAGAGGACCACAATTATAACGAGAGTTCTGATCTTCAAATGCGTATTCATCCACAGCTGAAAATAGTCCTCAATAAAAACACCAGTCCTGCTTGAAGCTAAGGTTGGCAGTACTTTTTATTTTTTAGCTTCATTGGCAGAAAATCCATATGAACCTTTCTAAGTTAAACTTCAGCACCTCCACCTCCGGGCTCCAACTTCAGGTTTTTAGAAAATCTAGCCCGCAACAGAAGATGTCAACCTATCAATAGCAGGGATGTGGTGGCACAATGGGAGGGATGGACTTCTGCTTGGGGCACCGAGGTTTGAATCTCAACCAGTTGTGATTTTAGCTTGACTACTTTTGCGTGTTACTGCAGGAGGAGGGCTCTATAATTCCTATACAGCTTTTTGTGTGTGTGTGTGTGTGTGTGTTTTGCAAATTTGACTTTTAGTAACATTTACTAATAAAAAACTACGCTGACTTTGGGATTAAAAATACAAGCGTGTAATTGTGACTTGCTTTTGAATGTCTACATCTTCAGAATACTGGAACATATTGAGAGGCGATCATTTGCTGGTTTTTGGTCTTTCTTTGGGATTTGTTGAGCAGAACATAGTGTTTATTTTACATGCCATTCAACGAGGCTGTATGTGTCTAATAAGGAAGATCTGCTCTCTCAGCTTCTCTCTGTTCCTCTCGGTGCTCCTGCTGCTCTGTTTCCTTCGGCATTTCTGTTTTCCCACACTGAGAAAATCACTTCACTGTCGGTTTCTCAGCCAATCAGCCCTTTTGTGCGTCTGTCCGTCTCCCCATCTCCACCTTATCCCGGTGGTGGAGAGCATCTCAACCAGTCAGCTAACGTTGCTCCACCACCAGGAGTCCTATCCTCATCTCCTACCTTCATCTAGGACTCCCCTCTGAGATGTTGCTTCTCACTAGAGTCTAATTCCCAAATTTCTTTTAGTTACCTGTACAAGTGCTTCTGTAATAAATGCAGTTCTTTACTTCCTAATGATCTCTCCTAATGATACTTTTATGTACAGCAACAGCTGCACTAAATGAACAGCACTGATAATTAGCAAAATAGTTTTCTATGTTTCTGTAATGGTTAATACACCAGTATGTAGAAGCTCTTTAACTGAAATTATATTCTTAATGCTAAAATATTGTTATTATTGTTATCCATGAGTTATCAAATTTACAGTTTTACAAAAAAAAACCCTGAAAAATACTAAAGCACATTGTAATTTCTTGAATAAAATGCCAAATTAGAGCTATTTACTTGCATTCTTGAACAGAAAAAAAAATAGTTTTAGTGGTTGAATGTTATGCTTGATTCATTTCTGACTTCTCAGAGAAGTCCAGTGGCTCAGATTTGGGTCTAAAAAGGTGAATTCAGTTTGAAATTCCTCATTCCTGTTCAAAATGGTAAAATGTCGAGTGGCATTAAAGCACTTCATGATGCTGGATGGTCTATAAATATATGTACAGTACTTAACAAACCAGAGAGGTGGTCGAATAAATTGTAAAGCACTGTATGTACATGTTATGTTAGTACCACCTATGTGATTTACCAACCTCCCCCCCAGATCTATATTTCTTATTTTCTGACATTTACAGCATGAAAATCTACTCAGAATCCTCAAATATCACTGCAAACAACACCTCTGCACAACACGGCATCCAGAATGACATTCACTGTGATGGATTTCTACTTGCACAGCCTCTTACAGCTAGTTGATTTTTATACTTTATGAACAGTTTAAATGGCTTCTTGGAATTTACAGACATTCAAAATTGAAAAAAAAAACAACAATCCAACACATGTGCACATGGTGTGGGTACAAACATGAACAACAGCTGCTCCTTTGAGGTTTTTAGTTATTATTTATGTCTGTTTAGTTGTAGATATCACAAAAATAAATGAAAAAAAATATGATTTAGTCCCAGTAAGACTGTGTTAATGAGACTATTTTGTGCAGCCTTTATCTAGTTTGCATGAATCCCAGATTTAAATGGCGTAAATAATATAAACTCAGCTTGCCAAACTGTAGACGTAACAATTTTAAGACATGAATACATAACAGAGGGTGTGCATCCAAAGATGTTTGAGGTAATGAAGTGTAAATTGCTACTCGTGACAAAATAAAACTGATTCATTAGGCAATCCTGGTCTATTTCCCTTTCATTTAGCAATTCATAACTATTCCCATTTATTTGCCTCGGTGTTTTTTGGCAAAAGCAGTTCACTCGTCATGCGAATAGAGGGGAAGGTGAGAAGGAGAAACAAAGAGCGAAATAATAAAGTGTAAAAAAAAAATGCGTTTCTTTCACCAGCCCTGAAAACTTTTTTGCATAATGGGATTTCTTCGGCAGTGAGACTCTGGCTGTCAGTCAAATGTGAAAGAGGAATGCAGCTCCATCAACACAAACTGCTGTGTCTCACTCTGTCATTCATCATCCTCCTCTCCAGGGGTTGCACTTGATCGACAGTCATATGTGCTATTGCTACCTCAGCATCAGTCTTTCCCAGGCCCGGTGGAGAAGAACAAATCAGGCAGCAGATTCATGCTGCTTGTTACTGATTATGCAAAAGAGCACCCAGAAGTGTTGCCCCTTGAAGTTTGTCAAGGCCTAGACGGTTGACTTTTGGCTTATTTGTATTTTTTCACGGGTGGGTTTTTGAGACATTATGTCTAAACTGCTTCGGGATATGCGCAGACTTCTTGGCATTAGGCGACTGAGGACAACCCTTTATCCCCCACAAACAGATGGACTAAGAGGCGTTTAATGCAAACAAATATTTTGCAAGTTTCTCAAGGAAAGTGGCTCTGTCTGGGACTAGTGACTTCCCCTCTTTTTGCATACAGGCAAGCACCGCAAGCCTCTACTGTCTTTTCACCATTCAAATATCTTTCTGGTCATTAGGTCATGAGAGAAGCCCTAAATCTCCTTAAAAAGCTTCTCTGGTCACTGGGTAAACATCTCAAACCAAGTCATTTAATATTTTACATCTGCTGATACGGAGTCTCAATCTGTTACCGTTTTCCTAGATAATACATCCATCCATCCATTATCTATACACCGCTTAATCCACACTAGGGTCACGGGGGGCTGGAGTCTATCCCAGCCGACTTAGGGCGAAGGCAGGGGACACCCTGGACAGGTCGCCAGTCTATCGCAGGGCCACACTTCATCTATTGTAGATTAGCTGTAGTACCTGGTTGCACCACCTATTACTGTTTAATACTGTGGTAACTAAAACAGGCGGACACTTCCATGTTGTCAAGCAGAGAGCATTGTGAGGTTTTTGGCTAGTATAGGCACATCATGACAACATCCTCTCTAATGCCGACACACATAAGTTAAATCAAGCCACAACCAATTAAAACAGCATTCCTCTAACTTAGCATGTGAGACACCAACCTATGTAGTAGTGCAGGGCTTAAAATAGCAACGCTATCACAGGACAGCTACTCAGTGTATTCAATTTGTAATCCAATTTAATCAATTATTGATAAATGATGCTGTATTTATTCAGAATAATTTCAAAGTTGTTACACCTGTTTGATAGCAGATGTAGACAAAGGACTGGACTCAGATCATAGACTGTATAAAAGATGGACGTAGCAACCGGCCCCGAAAAATGAAGCCAACCCGGAAGTGTCAAAAACCTGCAATATCACTACGTCTGCTAGTCCTGGCTCCAAAAAGCCCTGGCTCCCATAGAAATGAATTGGAAAAGAAGTGATCACAGATCAAGAAATACTGCATTCCTTCAGCTCGGGACATTTTGCGGGGCAAGGGGCGTGGCTGGCTTGACTGACAGTCGGCAGCAACCATACAGACAAAGCGAGCAGAAGGCGGTAAATGTGGGCGGGCAGAGAGGGCCCGCCTCTCAATCCGTCTGACCAATCGCTGCTCCTATGGCTCCGCCCCCCTCCGACGATTTTGCGTCACTGGCTCCAAAAATCCAAGATGTCAACCAGGAAGTAGCAAAACCCTGGCTTCATTTTCTCAGTGCAGAAACCAACGGGTGACGTCACGGAAGCTACGTCCATCTTTGATACAGTCTATGACTCAGATTCATACTGATACCGACCCTGATTAATTTCCATGGTTATTGTCCCTTCCTGCTTTAAAATGGTGTAGATGTATGGGGTCTATGCATTTAGGTCTGTATATTTATCTATCCCCCTTTTACCCTTGTGCTTCTTGCTACAGGTTGAGCACACCAGCTCGCCTATGACTCTATTATACTACTCTAAGCTGCACGATGACAAGTTGTAATATTTGAGTCATTCAGCCCTGCATGCTCCAACTACGATACAGTTCTGAAGCAGAACAATGAAGCAGAAAGGCCCTCCAAGTTGGCATAATTGGTTCCTTGGTTTGTCACGTATGAGACCCTGACAGTATGATTCTGGTCATTGGTACACTACAGTTTCTCAGCCATAGCGCTGACTTGCTAATGACTTTTCTTCTGACGTATAAAAAACATATTGGCATGGCAACAGGGTTTAAAAAAACAAAAAACAAAGAACCCCTGATTTTCATTCTATGACACCTACAGACTGCGGTTCAGTTTTAGTATTCAGGGCGGAGGGTTTCAAACAGATATTGACCTTAAGTGGGCCTAATAATGGTTCCAATAATACCTGCATTAGGATGCAGAGACAGTGTGTTATAAAGATAAAGAGTGTGTGCGGGTACCTATCTAGTTTATCGGTGGGGTACAACGCTTTGCTGAATCCATCCAGCAGAGACGAATGTGTCTGGAGAATGATGATGTTGTAGATCACCACGGCAACCAGCATCACCACCATCTTCAGCTCATAGTTGATCCTCAAGAACACTGAGCACGATACCAGGCCCAATATGCAGCAGTAGATGAAATACTGAGGACAGAGAGTCAGAGTGCAACAGAGATACCGGTACAGATTAATAAAATGCGTATGTTCTGTCCTGTGTATGAGACTTGTATCTTTTACAAAGGATGTATCATGCGGACAAACAGATGGAAATAGGGCTGTATTTCTACATGTATTGCTCTAAAAATAGTGAATCAACCAACATGCGAGATGAAGCAAGAAGAAAACTAGAGTTTGCAACAATCCACATGGCGATCCTGTCAGCTAAAGTGAGCGTAAGAAGGTCTCTGCCCTGCTGGTTGAGAATACACAGGACAATGAATAACACGTCTGAGCTTTAGGAATTCCCTTTAAGTCTGACAACAGGTGATTTAAGATGTTTAAAGTCACCACCTTCTTTAAAGTGTCTATCACTGACTTTACAGATGTACAACAGAACGGCTAAACAAAAGCTTCCTCACGACACTGGAAAAAATGTGCATGGCTGTCTCTTTGAATTATTCTTCCTTCACGGTAAAGTGATATGAAACAGTGGTCAATGAAAGATGCTGCTTAGCAAATGCCTAACAGTGAGCTCTTTAATACATTCAATATTGTATTAAACTATGCCTGTTTGAAATGAAACCAACAAAGAAGTTAGCACAGACACAAATTCCTATTTTATTTTAGTTTTAAATGACCATTTTAGATCAATTCCAGCTAATGTAAGCTGGATGAGCTAGGAAGCACCCTCTCTCCAGCTAATGTTGTTAACCTCTCAATGCTGTACTTACTGGCAGGTAAAACTTGTTTTTGCCTGTGTTTTCTTCCATATCATCCAATCGGCTGTCATTGGTTAGATTGACAGGTGGAGCGGTTGTCAGGACGTCCTCCATCGATCCTCCAATGTCTTCCACAAAGAACTAACAAACAAATCAAAGAGAACAGTTGCAGTGGTCATTTCTTGACTAAAAACTTATTTGGAGCTCCATGTTAGTTCAGGCTGGCAGGGAGTCAGGTAGTCACAAGCCCCCTGATGTCCAACCGTTCACTACTTCAGTCCAGCCCACCCACTAAGCGTGCTTTATAACTGAGGCAGCGTTCATTCATGCTGCCTGCTCCACCCAGCCTCCGCCCATCTGCAAATCATGACTGCTGTCCGTCTCTTCTTCAGAGATCTCTCATGCAGTTTATATAACTCAGTGTTTCCGGGAATTCTTCTTACACTTTGCCTCTGATCATGTCTGGGTGTGCTGATCCATCTTCAAGTAGGATTGCATCGTTGACACCAAAGCGAGCCTTGGTGCCTTTGCAGAGGCTGACGATAGTGTGTCTTACATCTAGAATGTTTGCTAAAGCGCCACATCGCAAGAAAAATCCCTTTCATCCTCCTCTGGATGATTTTAAAATCCAGTGAGAGCTCCTCAAAACTTAAATCCAACCTCCGAGTGGTGTAAGTCATTAAGAACTTTTGATATGTGTTAGCCTTTTCCTGCTCTGTTCTCTGGAGTGTGGTCTGGCAGCAGGGAGAACTATCCTCTCTCGGACTGAAGTTGGCTTTCTCTGAGGTGCTAAATATATTTGGGGCTTGAAGGGGCTGGGTCAGGGTCTGCAGGTAAACTGGCTACCAGGTCCACATGAAGTTGGGAGTGAAACCAGTGGTGCTGCTTTGTCACTTGGTAGGCCGTGACAACATACAGGATCATGACTTCCCAGGCCCAGTGGCATCGCTCAGCTGTTGTGGCCAAAATCTTTTGCAGATTAACATTGAACCTTTTGACTTGACCATCAGACTGAGGTTGGATGGGTGCGGTGCATGTTTTCAAAATACCAAAATAGTCCTGTACCATAAGTTAATAGCAGTTTTGGTGCTCTGTCTCATTGGCCCCATGATTTTCAAGGCAATGCGTTCCATGGGAGCTTCCACTCGAACCATACCCATTGGGGCTTGTGGTGTCTTGCATGGCCTGACTTCGGATGCGAAGCTAGGGCTGGTGCCACATCAGAGGGCAATGTCCTCTCTCATTCGTTACCAGAAACATCTGGTGTGCAGCTGGGTCACAATGCATTCCACATCAAAATTCCCACCAACCTACCTTTTATGCATTTGTCTCATGACATTGGGTTGGAAGACACAGCTTTTGAAGTTTAGAGAGATAAAACTCATATTATGGCAAGGTTAAGCATTGGCTTATAAACGCCTAATGAGCCAGTCCCAGTGGCATCGGTTTGAAGCTCAGTGAAAACCATATTTTGCAATGTAACTGACTTTGGCTGTATAGAGAAAAAAACAAACATTAAAATAAAAATAAAATGAAATACATTTTTTGGACTTTTTTTTCTTAAAAAAAAACCTCACAAACATGTTTTAAAGTTTTATATGATTTTTACAGGGCTTAGGTTTTGCTCTTCTCTACCCACCAACCTTCAACTCCAAATAAATCATGTCCACTGTGCTACTGCAGCCACAATAGGGCAGGTATTGACCCAGACTGTTCCACAGTGACCTGCGACAGAAACCAGTGGACAAACCACATTTACAACATTTTAACTGACTTCTCACCATATTGAAGACAGCCATCACCAGTATGAGAGCAGTGGTTGTCATGGTGAGGACCAATCGTAGCCAGGGGTTATTGGTGACGATGATGCGGGACGAAGTTGGGAACCATGTAAGAGAGCAGAAGGATCCCTTCCTTCCCTGCTGTGGATGCGAAGAAACAGAGAAAATGACCGACAAGAAAAAAAGAGGACACTGTTTTATCTAAAGCATGTTTCTGTGGTAAACTGAAAATATTCTACCGCTCAGTAACTCTTTTATTCCTTTTGCTTATACGACTTGAAAATTGCTGTCCTCTGGGGACTCATCTTCCGATTGATTAAAAGGATACTGGAGAGCTGAAAGTCACTCAATTTAAAAGGTCACGTTTGTTATCTTTATTGCTCAGGGCAGCTAATTCCGTCTAACTAAATAAGAACAAAGCCAGAAAGTGTTGAAGCGCAGATCATACATGCCAAATGTTGAAGGAGCCTAATAGACAATTAGCTGGATAAGAGAAATTAATTTTAGCTAAAAAAAAACAACAAAAAAAACAACTAAAGTTTTATTCTTACCCAAAAGTTCCAACGAGGAACATTTTCCAATTATTTTGGCGTTTATATCAGTTTGACAGTTTTTTTCTAATTTCTCACCCTTCAGGACAGTATGTTCATACTGTAGTATGAGTTTGAACAGAACTAGGCTCTCTCCTTTAGATTGAGTTCTGAGACAGTTACACTTTGTAGATGAACAAGAATTCTTTTTTTTTGTGTGCCAAATTTGAGGACATAAAATGACGGCATTCCTTTCTAAATTTTGCTTTTCCCAATGTGTGTGATTAAAATAACCACGTAATGCACTTTTCTACAGACGAACAGAGCACGTCCTTCAGCTATAATGTGACCCCATAATGATAATTCAAAGAGCCATTTGGACCCGTTTCAAAACATCGCTAGCCAAGTTAGCAACACTGTGCGTGCCGGTGGGTGTCGCACATCGGCGTTTGTGACGCAAATTTTGAGCGACGATTTTGAGCGTTTCATTTTAATGTTACAAGATCACCATAATCTTCAAATTTAGAATTACATTTAAAAAAAACTAAAATAAAGCAAGTTTAAATTAAATACTCCTTATTTATCTTCCAAGGCCACAAGGAGCCGCAGCAGAGGGATGAAAGAGCCTCATGAGGCTCCGGAGCTGCAGGCTGCCAACCTCCTGGCTTACACAAACCCAACCAGGTGCATCTCGCATACATTGTGAGTAATGTCATGTCCGCTCAGTTGTGTCGACTGTGTGCTCGTTCACCAGTGACCCAGGCAGCTTTCACTGGGAACATACAGACTGTTAAATTGATGGGTCATGATGCATGACCTGTCCTTACTGAAGCAGTGTATAAAGCTGATAAGAAGGCCAAGACACATCAAAAGTTATTGATAACCCTCCATTAATTAAAAGTGACCCATTTACCGAGAGATAATACGCTCTTGAGAGGGAGGAAATTGGTTCTTAAGGGAGTAATCATTCATCGATTGTCCATAAAACACCTGTGACAGGTAGCTGTGGCAGCTGGGGAACAATACCCATCTGTCCCCTTGTGCCGGACAAAAAAAAACAAAAGCAGTAAATCTTTGGCTATTCTATGAAGGAGGATATAAGGTAGATTAGTTGGCATAATACTCATACATAACACCTGTAGCTGTTACTGGTTCCAACTGGAAACATCCACGAACCTTGTAAGAAAATCAACTCTTTATTTGTCTGACTTGAATCTTTGGAGCAGACTACCGGCGCCTCAGTGACTTCCACAGTTTTGAGAGCAAATTCAGAGATTGGCAGCGAATGCATAAAAATCATTGAAACAAATAAGGTTACTGCTCTAAATGCAAAATTTCTAACTAAACTGTGTTATTTTTTGTGGCAGATGAATTAGATATATTCTATGTACTGTAGTTCCTTTGTAGTTCTACAGTAAATGCTTAAAATGTTCAAGCAAGTGTTAGATTAACTTGCAGGAAAATCTATTAAACACAACTATTCTGCCTACACTTCAACACTTAAGCATATTTTTAATCATACTGCCCATGCAAGAATGTTTGAATGACACTTTGAATAACCTGCACATACAGACTGGTGACAAATTAAAGGAAAATACAGTGTCTTAGCAGGTGAGGTGCCACCATTAGCATTCATTGTTTAAGTGTCTGGAACTCTCGTGGAGGGATAAACACTGTTCTTTTCAAAGACATTTCCTTCATTTGGTGCGTTGATGGTGGTGGTGGTGGAGAGAATTGTTTACCACTTTGGTCAAAAATCTCCATTAGTGATCCACTGGGGTGAAGCCTGGTCACTGTGAAGGCCATAGCACATGACTCACATAACTTTAATCAATTCATTCAGGGACCCCTCGTGCACTATGGATGTCAGGAAATGCTGAAAACACTCAATAAATGTTTCCCAAAGCCCAAGATGACATCCTCAAATGTTCCTTTTTGTCCACAATATGTTCAGTTTATTGTCATAGAGGAGAAAACCAAAACAGACAGTATTCAGTTTAACCCTTTATGGGGAAAGTGACCATATTTGGTAACTTCCTTGGATGTTCAATATGTCCACCCTGTGCCTCTCCTTGAGGTTGAAGAACCATCTGCACTTTGATTTAGTTCTTATATGAGTGCCAATATCATTACCTTATGAAACATGTCACTTAGCAAATGCTCCAGGCACTTTATAAACGCTTTGTTACTGGTTTGCATTGAACTCCACTTTGATTTATTTTTTGAGATTAGTGCCACTAACACCACAACCCCAAGAAAAATGTCACTAAATGAACTTGGCAAGTACTTTATAAATACTTTGTTACTGTTAAGTATCACTACCTCGAACTCAAATGTTTCTAAATCAATGTTTTTTTGCAGTTTGTTACTTTTTCTAAATTCCTTTTTTTTTTTTTTTTTTTTAACTGTAGACAGGCAAGATACCAATTAATTGCCTTTATTAATCTTGATTTGCAACATTTTTTTTTTTTTTTTTAATCACAAAAGAAAAAAAATACCTTGAAATATCCTTCAACAACAGCCCAGGGTTGAAATGTTCATTTTCCAAGGATTTCAAGGACTGCTCTATAAATGGTTAAGATGCCGCAATAGGATTTTTTTTTTGTTCTTGAAAAATTACTCAAGTTAATTAACTGACTATCAAAATAGCTTGTGATTAATCCAGTAGTTAACAACTGCACTTCTCCACTTTTGAATGTGAGCATGAAGCTCTGTGCACGTGCGCGTTTTCACCGATTAATCAATGCAAACTCACCAGAATGTGACCAGCGAAGCAAAGGAGCAGGATCAAAGCCAAGAGCAGGAATGCCAGGCCAAAGGAGATCCCCAGCACAGCAGTTCTGGAACACACACTCGCATTACTGGAACTCTCTTGGCATCTCTGCAGTGCCATCCATAACTATAAATGTAATGAAGGCTTTCATGTATTCTACATGACACTGTGATCCACTGACACCGAGGCAGCAGAACAGTGGATGAGTTCAGTCGCTTCAAAATGAAGTTTGCTTGTGTATCAGTTTTTCTAAGCAAAAAAAACACAACATGGATGATTTAAGGACGCCTGCCATAAAACAGATGATGTCACGTCTAAATGTGCAGAGCGATGCTGTGACTAACAGAGCAAAGATAAAGAGAGTGAGAGAGAGGGGAATTAGAAAATCAATGGCCTCTCAGATGCTGAATTACACCTTTGGCTCCCAGAAGCAGTAAATTAGCATGACCGTGAATTTCTCTCCTCGCCATTAAAGAGACGCCACACTTTGATTCACCTGATCTATAATCACTAGCAGACATGGTGCCCTTTTATCCCGATCAGCTTTTTAACATTCTGCCTCTTGCTCCCCTGCCTCTTTCATTTCAGCGTGGTCCTGTTGATGAGACAGCTGGCGTCAAATGGCTTTTTCACATCGAGCTGCCGCCACAGCTGGAGTTGCTGCAGGGAGCGGAGTGCGGAGTAAATCCCGTGAAAGGGGTATGGACTTACTTGGGCAAGACGAGGACTTGCACTATGAATATACAGCAGAATATGAGGCAGGCGCAGGTGACGTAGTACTTGAAGGCAGGTAATGTAGTGGATCTGTACTGTAGAGAGAAGACAGGGCAAAACATAACACACACACAGGATTATGAGGCTGTGCTGTACAGTCAAGACTAACATGAAGCAAAGACAATCTAGAAATGATGAGAAAATAAAGGAATTTACAGACAAATCAGCACATAGAGGACGAGAATCATCCTCCTCCGTCTCTGTAATGACTTCCCTTCCACTGATACCTATATAATTCAATTGATTTGTTTCCCCGGTGAACAATGCAGTCGGTGCTTTGTATGCATTCGCCTACCTCTTTTTCCAAGGCTTTGTTGTGAAAGAACAACGAGATCCTCTGGATGTCTTCAGACTTCAACCACTGTCTGGAGACGCAAGTGAAACAGACAGTACAGAGGATCAGGCTCTGGGTTGTGTTATGTGGCAGCAGAAAACGCTTCTGTAACTCTTCGTCGTGCAACACTGAACCAAACGCTCTTGTATGAATTTATTATAAACATGACATCTTATATCTTAATTATTTATACTTATTAGAACTTAAGTTTGTGAAATGTGCAACGCATTTCATATGCAGAGAATAAAGTCAGAGCGCTCCGTCTTGTTTTTCTGAATACCAAACAGATTTTAATGTGCTCAGTTTCACTGCTGTGGGGTAAATTACAATGAAAATATTGTTGCAGAATATCTGCAATTTACAAACTCATTTTGTTCATAAGAAGATGGAAATGAATCTTATTAAATTACCAGGCACAGAGTCATACTGAGACTTAACTGTCAATCTCACATCTTAATACATTCAAAAGAACGTGTTTTTCCTAAAAGCTGGCGCATCTTTTCAAATGATTCTGGTTTTGTGTGAATACAAATATTGGTCCATGTTTGTCATGTTTTTTGTTAGTAAATTATTTCTCATGATCTTATCTCATCTTTAGATTTTTGGGCTTAATTGCTGAGGGCTGAGAACTCTTTTCTTAACTGTGCTGTATATTAAATTTATGTTAAAAACTTCAAAGAATGCAACATCACATCTATAAAACATGATTAAAGAAGTAAGCCCAGGGTCATTTTAACACTTTGAGCCACATTCTTGACTCATTTGGGTTTTCTGTCTGACTAACTGAAAGGTGTCTTTAAGCCAATATGGTTTAGTATACAAAGCAAACAACAGCTGTGATGGAGTGCATTCATCAGTGACCTCATGAAAGTGATCAGACTTGTCTTTATCCTGCTATCCTGCTTCTATCAGCTGTAACTGTGAGGAGTGATGCAGAACTCCGATGCTTACTTCTGCGAATTGATGCCATCGATGGTGCGAATCATTCGTTCATTGAGTTCTTCCTCAAACCTCCTCCTCTGGGATTTGGACCTGGTATTGAAGTGAAGGGATGACATTTTAGTGCACCTGTACCTGTGATGAAACACTGTGAAGACAGAGCGACTACATGTGTCCTTTCAGCTCACCTCTCTCGTCTCTGGAAGTGGTACTGCCCCATTGGAACGTCCTGAAACACCAATCAGACCGTTAATGATTCTGAATGTAAGCTGCTGAGCAGAATATTTCTGTTAGCGTGTGAGAAAGAAGCGCTCACGGTCGTGTTAATCGTGCCGTTGTCTGTGGTCATGCTGTCTCGATGGTGAAGATTGGCGAAGGGTTTGGCAGCTCCCCAGGACTCCAGGTAGCGGGTCATCCTAACAGATGCCCTCATCTTCCCACCGTCCAGAGAAGGACGAGAGCGCAGGCCGAGCAGCGGGCTGTGCCTCTCGGTCTGGGAAACCAACAAGAACAGAGGAAATAGACAGGTAATTCCTGACATTATATATAGGGGATGTGCTCCAACAAATCTGATCTGCACTGACTCCATCACACAACTTCCAGGACTTAAAGGATCCGCTGTTGACTCCATGGTGCCCGATACACCTTCAGGGGCCATATTTAGTCCAGACCAGTCCAGGACCAACAGAAAATTAGACATGTATATTAGATATGTGTTGTCATTATGTTTCGGCTCATCAGAGAATATAGTTTTGCCAAAAAGTCAGCTTCACAGCAAGTGCTAAACATTTGTTGCTAACATTTTAGAATAATTTATATTTTATCATTACAAATGCTTTGGAACCAAAGATCGGCAAGTGAGTTACAATTCAAAACAAAGCTGAACCATGTGCAAGAAAAGTCACTGCAATTATTTTGGCAGTTATTGTGGTATTCGTCAGCGTTTCAGTGGGAATTTAAACTTTTGAATTTATTTTCCTTTGAAAAAAATTCCCCCTGTCGCCTTAGACAAGAATATGCTTCACAGACTGGAACATCTACGAGGTGTGTCAAAAAAAGTCCAAGAACGGGGGCAAAAAAAGACAAACCCAAAACACAAACGACAAGTTTTCCCCTTCAGACCATCAACCAGAACGTCTACAAAGAGATCCTGTGACGTTTGCTTTGTTCAGAGCACGAGAAGAGGCGAGAGTTGTGGCAGGACAAGTCATGGCTGCTTCACCATGACAACGTTCCTGCTCACAATGCCCTGAACATCCAACAGTTCCTGACTGAGAAGAACATCACCGTGCTGGAGCAACCTCCCTACTCAACCCACTTGGCTCCGTGGGATTTTTTCCTCTTCCCCAAACTCAAGGGGGTCATCAAGGGGACCCGCTGTGAAGACGTGGACGACATCAAGATGGTTGTGATGACGGAGCTGCGGAGGATCCTGGAAAAATCCTTCCAGGAGTGCATGGCGGCGTGGCAGAGAAGGCTGGGAAAGTGTGTTAGACTCCAGGAGGATTATTTGGAAGGGGAACACTTGTAGTTTGTAGTTTGGATTTGAAATATATCTTTTTTGACACCAGCCCTAAAACTTTTCTGGCACACCTCGTATGTAGCACGTCATTATGTTAAAACGTCAAAAAACTGCAGCTTTTGTAATTTGGATTTTCTGCTTGTTGTGATTTGCAATTCTGATAATCTTTTCATTCATTGTTCAGCCCTAATTCAAAGCATTATGAGCGACTTAGATGAAGCATTGCTTTTGTTCTGTAACACTCATTTATGAAACAGTTGACCAATGTTCTGCAAGTGCAACCACGTAAACCAGACGTTTACACATCCAGAGTGCTCACTCTCAGTGGGTGTGAAGTGATGTGTTTTAGGAACATCGGACATTTAACTGCTCTTGATGTCTGCGACTGGCCCGTCAATGACTTGAGCTACTTAAAACACTTTTAGAACGATGCTGCTCTCCTTCTAGTTTGACGTGAATACTTTTCTCTGACAAAGAGCGCGCCACTTCAGCGCTTACAGAAACACTGAGAGTCTGGGACGATGACAAGCACCTCTGGTGGATTATTTTAATTGCTCACGGAGACAGGCGTTGTGACTGACCAAACATGGCACAGGTTTCTTTTTAAGAATTGAAACAGACACAGTCCATGATGGCTGTGTTTATTTCCCGCGGGCGTACCGAGCGGCTCTGACAGTGACAATCAATGACAACGACAGCAGAAATGACACCTCCTGTGATCCATGCTCCATATTTGGCTTTGATCCATTCAAGGCTTCTTGAAAATGTCACCGAGCACCCGCAGCCTTTTTCCGATATCTGATTGGATATCGAAAACCTATCTGTGCTAAATGAATAAAGGTTACGGAGGAGCATCTTGTCACATCCTGCGGAGATGCTCGTATAAAATGGTAACATTAACCACAAAAACTGCTGGTTTAGTTAATTACTATACAGCTGCGAGGAGCCAAAGTAATTTAGGTCTCTCTGCTTTAGTGTCACTACGCTGCTTTTATAAATGAGAAACTAGAAGAAAAGTTAAAAAGGATAATATTCAAACACGGTAAGTGCTGACCGAAACTGAAATGCACTGATGTACTGCAGAGAACAGAGAGTGCCCAGAGTGTGTAATGTGTATGAATGCTAACTAACCCCTTATTGCTTAACTTAATCAATAACTCAGGAGGATAAATCTCACAAACATATTACAGCTGATGAAGTTTGTTGGACTGAAGATGTGAGCACAGATAACTGACTTCTTCTGCGCACAAGAAAACATGATTGATCTCTCACATTAGCAACTCCGGTAAAGGTTGGGGAAACTTTTCTGTTTCAGTTAACAGAATATATGAGAATCATGTGGGATGCACGATTACATTGTTCCTCTTGTGCGCTTTTTTCTCGCAAATTGTAAATCTCATGCGGAAAATACTGCAGCTGACTTGAGAATTTGCTCAGAGAGAACAGGAAGACAGTTTAAGCTGGTGGGATGAATTTATGGGAAAGCTAGCGATCCATGAAAACAAAAAGGACAAGACAAAAAAAAAAAAAGCAGCCTAGAGACCGTATTTGGAGGAATCAATGGTGAAAAGACACTCTGGCTTTTTGTGCAGTTAATTGCATTTCCATAAGATGCACTAAAAGGCCTTAATTCTTTAGAAAAATCATGCCAGTGCTCCTCTGAGAGCCCCGAGGTCAATGAAGCAAGCAGACAGTGAACACACCATGCCTGAAGGAAGAAAGGGGGAAAGTTTTCTCGCTGATATTTGGGGGAGTGGGTGCATCTTAGCCAATTTGTGGAGGGATTAGGAAGGCAGGGGACTGTTAAGTACGGGTTTTTTTCATTTGCCAAGCCAAAAACACTGAGCTAAGTCTGGATGCCAGCAGCAAATTTCTATATAGAGATGTTCTCGGCAGACAGTTCACAGAAGAGGCAGATCCCTTAAATGTCCTTAATCGGCCCCGTTTGATAGGAGGGAGCTGCACGGTGTCACAATCCATTCACAGTGCTTCAAGTAGAGAAAGAGGACTTCAAACATAATCTGCTCTGAGCAGAGAGATTGACTGGACACCTGCAGAAATGCTGTTCCTTTGATAACATGTCATCATTGGTACACTACATTATTTTCCTGTGCCTGACATTGCCGGTATTGATTAGCTGCCCACTGTGCTCTTGGCGGGATGAAGAAGTGATCATATAAATGTTTGTAAAGCTGTGGTGTTGTGCTGAAAACAGACTCATGTTTTTGCATTCTGACTCCATAAAATACATGACAGACCAAGTCATGACCCAAAACACACCGTATATAGATACTGCTGCTGCAAACTGACTGCAAGCTACTGTACATAAATATTAATCATAGGTTATACCATAGACAGCGTAATCTAAAGTGAATGTATCATCTTTGCTGCCCTTTAATTGCGTTGTACTTCTTTGTATTGTGTCTTTGTATTGCTTTAAAGGTGATCATTGCTTTTTTTTCCTTTTATTTATACATATTTATGTTGACATTTTGCACTTTCGCATCTTCTGTCCTCCTGTTTTAACCTATTCTTAATGCAGTTTTATTTGGGTTACTGTCTGGTGTTGCCTTCTGGGTATCCTTTCTGTTTTTAAAGGGGCTGTATAGAAAAAGGTCTTGTTCTTAAAAAATGTCAGCTGTTTTTTCTTTTTTTCTGGGATGACCAAATACCTGTGAAACCAGCCTCAGCATGTTTACGGTTGAATAGCAAATATTAGCATAGCAACACGCTAAAGTAAGATCATCAGGTGGTGGGCTACCTTAATGAGTTAGACATAATAATATGTTATTTAATACAAGAGAGACCACATGTTCTCTGCAATTAGGTGGAAATAATATTAGCAATTGGTGAAAATTAGTTGGAAAATATCAGCATATCAGATATAGAATTATTATTATTAGCATTATTGAATTTCCCTTCTGGGATAAATAAAGTATTTTTCATTTCATTTTTCATTTCATTCATTGTAGGCATAAATTCTATATTGTGCATTAGACTGATGTGTATTATCGTTTCAGATGTTCCTCCTATTTTGTTTGTCAACTCTTCAAATTGCACCGCAACGTATTTTCCTTGGTGAACTTCATATGTGCACCTACTGCTATAAGATCATACTGAGAAATGATGGTAACTATTATTCGATTATTCTACAAATCTAATAATAGAAATGGCATTTTATAGTCTGGAACCAGAAAATGGCAAAACTTGCATGAAGTCAACAGCAAAATAAATAAAGCAACTAAAAAGCTCCTGGGGTTACCACATAAAAGCAAGTCAAGAGTAATTCTTGACTTGCTTTTAGTGATGTCAAACATGCCAATAACTGAGCACATTAAGAAAAACTAATCGTCCGATAAGTCCACAGCTGCTGCTGCTGCTACTTCTTCGACATCGCTTTCTAACTGACTGTATATATGCATAAAGGCGGGTGATGATGTCTGACCTTTGGGTTGATGACCAGGAAGGTAACCACTTTATGTTCTTTCAAGTAGGAATCTCTGCTTTGTCCGTCTCCAGGCTCCACCTTGTATGAGCCTTTCAAATGCTCCAACGTCACTGAAGAGATGTGGACCCTCCTGGAGGCAAGTATTTGAACAGGCAACGAGCAGTGAAGCGCTTGCGTCATTGACAGTTCCCTGAAACATGTTATTTACTTTCCAGCTTCACAACCTACACTAACTTGCAATCCAGCTTTGTTTGCTGCCCTCGCAAAGGGAGATGGAAGGAGACGGTCATATGTCTTTTTCAGGGGCCATATTTTTCAGGTAGCTTTCAGCAGACATAACAGGAGCCAAACCATTAGCAGCCCAGTGAGACAATGCTGTGGCACTAGAGAGCTTATTTTCAGAGTAGCATACACATAACCACCAGCCAATTTTCCCCAGCTTGTTACAGCGCTCGGATGGCAGACCTAATGGCCACGTAACAAATGTAGAGCTGCTTGGTCAAATGAGGTAGCTATAATTGACTAAAATGCTCATAACAGGCAGAATTAGAAAAGACATATATCATGTTCCATGTCTCTCTGCAAATGTGTGCATTTTCGGATGTTAAGCATCCCAGTATTGCAGCGTGGAAGATTTACTGTGTGCCAGGGTTTGCAAGCTGTAACAGCACGAGTATCAAATTAAACATTCTTGCTTAGTTGCTGTCTTGTAAGTGTTACTTATTCTTATCTTACCCGGGTACGCCTCCCGCCTCCATGTGATTGGCAAGCGTTACATCATGTGACCACACATCATACTGCCACTTCCGGAGGCCAATCACACCACAGAGGACATTTCCAGAGTGAACGCCGACACGCATGTTGATATCGACTCCGGTGGCATCTCGGACCTTCCTGTGGAGAGTGAAGCGCAGACAAAGTACACTTTAAAGGAGAAGCGCTTATTTGCTTTCTTTCCAAAAGTGAGAGGAGAGCAGCGGAAGTTATTTGCACAGCTGAGTACAGAGCTGAGGCCTGTGCTGCAAAGCAAGTTCAGCGTACTCAGGATGTGTGTCTGTTATCTGGATTAACTGAGCCTAACAACCTCAGTCAGGCTAAGCGGTCATGCAAGGTGAACGCAAACTTATACAGCACCTTTCAACCATTACTCTGTTGCATTAAGGGCTTTACAGGGTTTTTCTCTTCGACCCATTCATATACCAACGGTGGTAGAACTGCCATGTAAGGTGCTTACCAGCTGACTTGGATTGTGCTGTCATGGACATTGCAGCACATGGAAGAGCTGGCAGGGAAATCGGCAATCTTACAAATAGTGGAAAATCTGCTTGACCACTTGAGCTGCCCGCAGGCTGAGGCTGGTTATCCACTCAATAAGTCAAGCCAGGATTTCTGAACTTAGCGATGAGTGTGTAAGCATAAAAAGCGATGGCAGCAGATAGCCGTAGAACATATTTTTCACATAAAGAATAAACTATATTACTAATAAAAGCAACACAGCTGCTGCAGCCAAAAGGGGACAGTAAGCTGCTGTGTTGACTGTGTGACTGCGTAAGTTAATGGCCTTATCAATATTACTTATTAAGTGCATCTGACTACAGTTCCTTTGGTAGTTAACGTACAGCCTATGTATCAAACATTCTCATAGCATAGAAGTCCATTTCACCTTATTCTTTCAGGTGCAACCCCGGCAGTGTTAAATGGTCTCGCGGGCAAGTAAAGACCAATTTTGAAAACATCATTCAAAGGGGTAAGCAGGCTCACTGCAAATCCTATGAGTTCAACAAGTACAAGGCTTTGCTGCTTTATAAGTCTCTGTTGAGGAATTATATTGCTACACAAAGGAATACACAACTATATATATTGGCTTTGACATTTCTTGCAGTCAACAGGAAAAAAAAAAAGTAAGAAAAGAAGACTGGAGTTCCCACCACTGAGAACCTGTAGGTCTCATTTTATTTTCCAAGAGCTGATTGGTTATTAAGCAGTGTTTTTATATTTGTTGATCTCTTTCCAGGTTATCTTTTCAGCATAACTTACCATAGTAATACACCCCAGGAAGAGGAGAGCTACAGTGCTGCCCGTTTATTATCACACCCTCAGTCCAGGATGGAATTATGACTATATCCAGGATATTCCAATAAGTGGGCTTATTTATTTATTTATCATTAGATTGGCATATCGAAGTGTCCGCAACAATAGAGCACTAAGAAAATTATGCCCGTGTGACGAAAAACGAGGGTTTATGAAGCCAAAACGGGAATGTTATCATAAGCTCAACAGGACAGGTTCTGTGAAAATCAAGAAAAGTTCATTCAAACGGAGCTTTATGGTTTTGCTTCAGTGAAATTTCACCTTTGTTGGTACAAAAAGCCACCCCACCGATAAACGTTATTTCCTTTAATCAGAGGGTAAACAGAGGATTAACTTATCATGATTAACGAGCTGAACAGTTCAGTTATGAGTGACGACATGCTCTGCAACAATGCGATTCTCTTTGATATAATTAAAGTCAGACAGAATAACTCAGTGAAGCAGATCTCAGGTGAGCAGGTAACTGACAAACAAACACGTCGCCTTCCACGGCTGACCGGCGTGTGATAATCTGTCACGCATGACCGACGCTCGGCCCGTGAGCCGTAACGATCGGCTGACCGTGACTTTAAACAGGCAAAAGTTATTCCTGGAATCAATTTCAGGGAATTTTGTTATGACAAAAACCGGGACTATGACATTATTCTATGACAATAAACAGGCTGTTGTACTATAGGTTATATAGGAAATCGTATTTCGATACTTTTATATTTTATGATTATACACCGTATATTTTATAAAGCGGTATGACGTTAAGTGAGCAGCACTGTACCATGGAAGTCCAGGATTAAACCTGAAGTTACCTCGCTAACCCCTACATCCCTCTGGAGTTAAGACTTTTTGGAACCAGAAGGAAAAAGCTGGGACAGTCTTCAAAAGGTGAAAAGCATCCCTCTTAAGATCACATGTGCCCATGACTGAGAGTTTCCTCTACAACTGTATTCTCGTTGGTTGGAAAATCCTCTATGGCAGGAGTGATATCCAGACTCTGCTTCACCGTGTCACAGGTGGATGACACTGGGTGGCATCTTTTTTTTTAAAGATATGTTTTTGGGCTTTTCCGCCTTTAATGATAGTTGGCAGTGAAGATAGACAGAGAAACGTGGAGAGGAGAGTGGGGGAATGACATGCAGCGAATGAGCCGCTGGTTGGAATCGAACCGCTGCGTCGGGGATTGTAGCCCCTGTACATGGGTCGCCCGGCCTACCCGCCGAGCTATCCGGGCGACTTGGGTGGCATCTTTAATCTGATTGTGATTAAAGGTCAGCGCTAGCAAGCCAACATATATGCAGCAGTGAAAGACAGAGAGCAGAGGAGAAGGAGGAGAGGACGAGGCTAGCAAAGAATATTTTTTCATTTGTTTGCATTTTTATTTGTTCATTCGGGAGGCTTATCATATTGCATTCACACTGTGTTTACTCTGGAGTTCAAACAGAGCTGGAATCAAGTCTGGCATTCCTTCTGCTCAATCTGTTTGACAGGCGCGTGTTTGTTTGTGTTTGTGTTTCCATTTAAGTGTGTGTGTGTGTGAGAGAGAGAGAGTAAGAGAGAGAGAGAGAGAGAGAGGGGAAGAGAAAGAAAGAGAGGGAGAGATCTGGTATTTTACTTGATGGCCTCACACATATCCAGGCCCATCTTCACGCAGTTCCTGGCGTGGTGAGGCAGCGACTCAGGCAGACCAGACACACAGTAATAACAGTCTCCCAGGATCTTGATTCGCATGCACTCGTTCTCCTTAAAGAAAGCAAAAAAAAGAAAGAAGCAAAGTTTTCCATCAGACTCAAGAACATGTTTCCAGATAATCAGTATCTTTACTTTGTTTGTTCCTCACTTCCACCCGGTCCTCATGCAAACAGCGTCCCATCCATCAAGCCCAAAATCATACACCCACACACACACATAACACATTAGCTCTTATTCCACATGTGGGATGTGTAACAGCTCATCGTTGCATTGGGTTTATGTAACGGCAGCCTCGTCAGAAGGGAGGACGGAGCTGCTGGACATGAAGCTGATAGAGCCTGACTCAGCTGTTTGGACCCATATAGCCGAGGACCCAAGAGACGGCGAGATACACTCTGACCAGCCCACACAGCGCTCCGGTAAGGTACGGCAGGAAGGCCGACAGAGGCCTCAGGATGGACCGGCAATCTATTTTAAGGGTGTAATGCTTCACCTTATTGAAAGACAAGACAGGCATTCTCCTCTCATCTTGGCTGCTTTGTAATTAGCCAATTTAAATTAAGTGAATTAGTTTAGACTTCAGATAACACTAGCTAAAAGCGCTACACGTGAACCCAGATGAATAGTTTTATGTCACCAACATCCATTAATTCTCCATTAAATCCAAATTATTTCTTGATTAAAATGCCACATGGTACCTTAAAACAGCATCATGGGGTTTTAAAGAATTCATTGATTGGATTCAAAGCGGCTTTATAAATTAAGGGATTAATGATGCATAGGTTTTTCATGGTTAATAGGTTCATTACTGGTTTATTTATCCAAAACCCATTACATAAACTAAAATCTTACTGGGCCTCAAAAGACCTTAAGCTTATAAAAGCTTAAACTTGAATATAAAAAAGGGGATTACTTGAGATTAACAGGTCAATTCTTGTCTTTAATTGTATGTAAAACTACATTTTGTGGTGGGACTGTAATGGACTGTTTTAAGTGTTTTCTATACTTTGTGTGTCTCATTCAGGAGGAGCATAAACATCACACAGTAAAGGAATTTGTAATCCAAAACATGGATTTTTTAGAGAAAAACTGATTGTTTTTCCTTAAAAAAAAAAAATTTCTTGGACTGAATAGAGATAGTTTTGCAGATGACACATCTCTGTTGGCTTCATCAGACCCTGACCTTCAGCGCGCACTGGATCGGTCTGCAGCCGACTGTGAAGCAGTCAGGATGAAAGTTGGCACCTCCAAGTCTGAGGCAATCGTTCTCTGTCCGAAACCGGTTGATTTCTCCCTCCGGCTTGGGAGGGAGGTGCTGCCCCAAGCGAAGGAGTTTAAGATCTTGGGAACTTGTTCAAGAGTGATGGGAAAATGGAGCCTGGTGCAGCATCAGCAGTAATGTGGACTTCGTACCGGACCGTCATGGTGAAGAAGGGACGTAGATTGATTAACCAGATCTGTATCCCAAACCTCATCTATGGTTATGAGCTCCGGGTAGTGACCGAAAGAACGAGATCGTGAGTATGAGCGACCAAAGTGATTTTCCTTCATAGGGTGGCTGGGATCAGGCAAAGAGATAGGGCGAGAAGCTGGGGCATCCGGAGGGAGCTCAGAGTAGAGTCGTTGCCCCTTTGGGTTAGAGGAGCTAGTTGAGGCGTCTGATTAAGATGGAGGCTTTTGGGAGACCCCAAGGTAGACCCAGAACTCACTGGAGGGATTACATATCTCATCTGGCTTGGAAACACCTCAGGATCTCCCAGAAGGCCGTGCAAAGGTTGCTGGGGAGAGGGATGGACTCTGGAAAGATCTGCTTCACCTATTACCTGACCCCGGGTAAGTGGCAGAAGATGGATGGATGGAAAGAGACGAACATTGTTCAAAGTGTGTTTTATGGAATGTGATCATTTTCCTTTCAACCCTTTGATCTACGAGGTGTGTCAGAAAAGTTTCACGACTGGTGTCACAAAAGATATATTTCAAATTCAAACTACAAACTACAAGTTTTCCCCTTCCAAATAATCAACCTGGAGTCCAACCACTTTCCCAGCCTTCTCTGCCACACCGCCATGCACTCCTGAACTCCGGGATACTCCGCAGCTCCATCATCACAGCCATCTTGATGTCGTCCACGTCTTCAAAACAGGTCCCCTTGATGACCCCCTTGAGTTTGGGGAAGAGGAAAAAATCCCACTTAACCAGGTGGGGTGAGTAGGGAGGTTGCTCCAGTACAACAATGTTCTTCTCAGCCAGGAACTGTCGGATGCTCAGGACATTGTGAGCAGGACCGTTGTCATGGTGAAGCAGCCACGACTTGTCCTGCCACAACGCTTCTCACGCACCGAAGCAAACGCTTCAAAGGATCTCTTTGTAGACGTGCTGGTTGATCGTCTGAAGGGAAAAACTCGTAGTTTGGGTCTGAAATATATCTTCTGTGACACCAGTCCTGGAACTTCTCTGACACACCTCGTATTTCTTCAATGCCTGTTTTCATCTCAAACACACAAGCGCGTCTTTGTGTATATATTAATGAAGTTGGGCTTTATTTACCTTTGCAATCTGGTCAAATTTACCAAACAGTTCATTCAGCATGTGCACGAGTTCACCTGGAGAGCAGTCGCTTGCCAGCCTGGTGAAGCCCACAATGTCTGCATAGAGAATACTGCAGAAAATCATAGGAAACACAATTAGTATAGAATTACTGAAAAGCACACCATTGATATAGCAACACAATTCATTGCATGTCCACACTATTTTGTCCAGTGTTAGGTGAGCCAGATGGTTCTCCATCCTCGGAGGACATTTTATTCGTAGGGCAACACAGATGTGGAGCTTTTGTGTGTTTGTTGCACTTAATGTTTGAATTTTGCAGTGTTTTCCACAAACCCATTGAATTCTTGATGAGCGCTTGTATGGTGGTGAATATGAAGTGTCGGAGGTAACACAGGAAATGTTTTATGACAGACGGAAGCCTTTGGATTCCTACTTGGCAAACAACAACCAAAACAAACGCACTATGTACTGCGTTAATATGCTGCTGTCTATGTCTATCTGTTTTCATTTTGGTGTTGTGCATGTGCTCTCCAATTTACTCAGAGATGCCAGTTCATTAGCTACACCTCGCTACACAACCATCTGATGCAACACCTCTCCACAACCTGCTGTATTGATCCAACTATACGATTGTTTGGGAGGCTGTAGTTTGAAGTGCTGATGAGTTGTGTTGCATCATACTGTGTTTTTTGGCATTCTCGGGTCGTGCCGTAGAGACAGAAATGTGGGAAAAGAGAGCAGTGGAGCAACACACAGCAAAGGTCTGGCTGGCTTTAGCCCCCGTGGTTTGCACCCTGACCACTCGGCCATCAGGTCACTTTAGATGTGTAGATGAATATTAATCACACGTCACCATGAGAACTGGTGCTGCTCACAACCCAGATGGTTTCATTCTCTTTTTTTTTTGGGGACATTTTATATGAAATTAGTGAATAAATCAAAACTATTCATGGCATTATTTTTGAAAGCATCCTCTGACTTTTACTTTTATTAAAAGTGAAATTGGGACAGTTAGGCTTTGCAACAGGAATCCTTTCAAGGAATAGGTAAAACAACTCAGAACCAATGCCTCTGCATTGCTGAAAAGGCTTTGAGAACAGTTCACATTGGTAAAACGTCATAAAAGTGGGCGTGACATCACATCTGAGCCCAGGCAGGTCAAATGACATAATGTTCTAATGTTGTTAAGCTTGAAAAAAACCTAGAAACAAATATTCATCACTTGATTCCAGTTTATTTTGCAACAGGATGTAATTGGGTGTCAAAATTATGAGGAATTAATTCTATACTCCTTTTGCCCTTTTGCAAAATGCGTTAGTGTCCCATTTTGCAAATTGACTAATGGTCAAATGAGACACTCCTCTCATTTCAATTAAAAAAAAAAAAAAAATGTTTTAGGGCATCACAAAATACATTTTGTGTTCATAAAAATCTATTGTAAATTGGATCAAATATAATTTCTCTTAGATATGTTATCTGACCGGTTGGAACTCAGAAGAGACAACATCGCCATGTTTTAGCTCCATGTTTTATCACACCAATAAAAGCTCCAGCTAACTATCTGTAGCTGTTTTATTTCATCTCATAACTTAATTTAAATGAATATTAGGTATATGAATAGTTTTATATGAATGAAAAGTCAAGTCTGTGGGGTGGCCAAGATTTAAATAGTTTTAAAAGCCCTGTTTGAATATATATATATAAAAAAATTATTAAAAATCTTGGTTCACATAACTGACTCAATTGTGTTGTTCATCACTGTATTATTTGAAGACATAAAAATGCCGGCATTACTTCTCAAAATATGTCGGGTTTTTTTTTGCATCAAGATATAAAGTGTCCCATTTTGGCAGTGGTGGTTGTAGAAAACTGTTGTCTTCAGTTTTAAAGATTAATGTTTGTTGAATTGTGAGTGCAGCTACAGAAATAATTCAGTAAATTGTTCAAGAATAAAAATTTTCAGAAAGTGTCCCATTTTACCAGCACGCACTCCTGACAATAAAATATTTGTTTATTTTCTCTTTTTTTTTTCAGGTCAAACTGTAGTTCCAGTTATTAGTATTTAAGAAGATTGAGAGCAGCATGTTTTTTGTTGTTTTTTTCAATTTCATTAATTTTATCTGGAATCAATAAAAGAATATGACGGCAATAACTGGATTAAGAAAAAAAATATTGTATTTAATAACCACATGAACCTTACTGAAATTCTTAATACAGTACTGTACATTTAAGAGGGCACTAGTGTAAGCAGCATAAACTGTCAACTGAGGGGATATTTGACATTTCATATTTACATTCGATTCTTTCCAGCTAAGGCTACTTAGTAATATGAAAGCATGCAAAGCTTCAACATGCATACAACCATTTCCTAAAGAGAAGGAGTGGTCTATTACAGCCAGAGAACCAACACTGGCTGCACTAACTGTGCAGGAGGATCCCAGCAAAACCACATTGCCACCTGTCCTTGAGTGTCTGCTCTTTGTTCTGCAGAGATTGCCCCTCTTCTCCGCCCCCCCTCACTGTGAGCCAGACCATGTGAGAATTTGTTATTATTGGAGGGATAATAGGCAGATCAACATGAGGACACACACATGCACACATTCACCCACACACTGAGTTCTGCTAAATGAGACACAGTGATGCTGGTTCTCCTGTGAAGCTCCAGCATGACAGGTTTTTAGAGGACATTCGCTGGAGAGGCTCTCATGGTAAGACTGGATTTGTGCAATGTAACTAGACAGCCCCACAGTATAGAGGAGAACAGAGGACATAGGCTCCTCTTCATTTGGCAAAGTGACCTCAGAGTACAATGGATGTGGATTAGCTCCGAATTGAATCTGGCCATAGCAGTGGAAAGGAATAAGAAGATGGGATGTAGAGAAGATGGCGAGGAAGGAAGGGAGAGACGACGACGCGGTGAAATAAAGGGAAATGATAGAGGATGAGAGGAGCACAGAATGTAGGAGTCATCCAAATGTAAGAGCAGGTAGACAGAGGAGGACAAAGGAAGAGGAGGGATGCACAGTGATGAAGGGGAGGACGGGAAGGTACAGGAGCAATCAAGCCCTGAGATGAGAGCAGAAAATAATAACCTTTATTACGTGGCGGCGCAGGGAGAGGAGAAGGAACTTTACCTGACATTGGTGTGTCGCTGCACGTAGAGGTTGTGGAAGTTGTTGGTGCTCTCAGTTCGACCAGAGTTTGGTCCCTGCAGCCTCTGGATGATCTCAGCTTTCATCACTCTGGCTATATGAGCGGGCAGTAAGGACAGGAGTAAACGCTCCTAGAGCAGGGAGAGGAGGAGGAGGTAGGGATCAAAGCTACGTCAGGCAGGCAATAATTAAGACTTGCGTGTTAACAGTTAATAATATCGTTAAGGTCATACAGAAACTTCACTAAACCTGTGGGATCCTTGCTACTGTGCTGACAATATATTCTGTTTTGGTTAATTGGTCGAGAAAACAAAAGGTGCAAGATTTTTTGACCCGAATTCTCCACAAAAATAGAAATAGAAAACAGATCACAAAACTCTGAGTTCAGATCGGGTCACAGCCTTTGAGGCACAGATTGGATCATTTTTGGATCAGATCATAGACTGTATAAAAGATGGACGTAGCAACCGGCCCTGAAAAATGAAGCCAACCCGGAAGTGTCAAAAACCTGCAATATGACTACGTCCACTAGCTGCTGGCTCCATAAAGCCCTGGCTCCCATAGAAATGAATTGGAAAAGAAGTGATCACAGATCATGAAATACTGCATTCCTCCAGCTCAGGCTTTTTTTAAAAATTAGTTTTCATGGTCAAATCCAGAGATCAGTCAATCTGAAAATAAATCAAGACTGAATTTTTTAAAACTGTCAAAATTTTGCAGAGCAAGGGGCGTGGCTGGCTTGATTGACAGTCGGCAGCGACCATACAGATGAAGCGAGCAGAAGGCGGTAAATGTGGGCGGGCAGAGAGGGCCCGCCTCCCAATCCGTCTGACCAATCACTGCTCCTATGGCTCCGCCCCCCTCCGACGATTTTTGCATCACTGGCTCCAAAAATCCAAGATGTCAACCAGGAAGTAGCAAAACCCTGGCTTCATTTTCTCAGTGCAGAAACCAACGGGTGACGTCACGGTAGCTACGTCCATCTTTTATACAGTCTATGGTCTGCACGTTCTAGAGCAGACAACAGTGTAGAGTTACATTTAAGGGAAGAACAGTATTTTCATTTAATATGTAACTTTGATAAACAGAGATGAACTTTTTGGGGTAAAATCAAAGGGACCTAAAAATTTGCAATGAATCACACGTGTGACAAACAGTGGGCGGGGATCAGTTTGGATTGCAGATCAACTAGTCCACCAATGGAAATATTGGATAATAAACCATTTTTGCACGATTACTACACTGATATATACAGATTAACAGCTTTTATATGACCATAATGTTCACATTCACATTTATTCTGTTCTATTTTTACATCCCTTTAATGATGACAATTTAATGACGTTTCATTGGGGCTAATTTTTCAAGCACTGAGCACAGGAAGCCAAAGTGAAGCAAAGAAGAGCGACTGAGGCAGATTTTCACAGCTTGTCAGCGGAAAGCAGTGAAGCAAATTCTGTACATTTTCAGACTGCTTTTGATTCCACTCTTGGATTTTAAATTACTATCAGGTGATTAAGGTGAAAAGTTAAAGAACATGTCTAAGCCTTACTATTTTACTGGTTTGCTCAACGTGTGTCACTGATTTCTACCTTAATTTGTCATTTGCTACATTCCCCCTTTAACCTCCAACTGGGGTGAGGTGCAAACCAGTTGCTTTCAGTTTAAGGTGATAAATAGACCTATGACTCAGTGGGTAAGATATGCAGTGTGTGATCATCTTCAGTGTATTTCTCTCTGTCTGATTTTTATGCGCTATACTGTTGCTGGCCGTACAAAGAGGCCATTGCTTGAGTTTGACGGTTGCTGGTGATGTTTTAGAAAGCTGACATATGTGCCGTTGTCGGGTTTCATTATGAATGCATTATAACCTGAAGTGTCAAGTAATTGTGAAGTATGCTCAGGTCCAAGAATAATGGAACCAAACCAGGAATGCAAGCGCCATCACTCATAGCTGTTGTGCAACCATGTAAGTTTTTGCTTTAATTTAGCACCATGCACATCGGCTGGAGGGTTGTTGGAGGGTGATTTCGGTGTGTGCGTGTACGAGCGTGTGGGCATGCGTGTGGGTGTGTGTGTGTGTGTGTGTGTGCATGTTAGAGAGAGCGAATAGCTGCCTGAGGGGGTGTGACTCATAAATGCAGCTCACAGCAGAGAGGGTCATTACATTGTTCACACACCACAGGCTCATTTCCTAAAACACAGCAGCAAATTAAGTAGAGAAAAGGGTTGGAGGGTGGGGGGGGGTGCACTAAAAATAGAAACCCACACCTCCCGCTCTTATTTACTTATTCAGCACTGGAGCAATACGAACAGTCTACTGTGAGCGTGCAGAGAGGGTGTACTAGCCCGAAGAGATGTAGTTGTTATTAATCATGTGTTTGATTAATGAACTAAAGTGAACTGTTTTAAGCAGCTGAATGACAATTGGCAGTGTTAATTTTTGCGCTGGCATGTGTGCACTGGAAAAGACACACACACCAACTGGTGCAGAGAAACATATGTCAACAAACAGGCTAAACTTAGAGATGAAAGCTTGTTAGGCCCACCTTGAGAATAAATCATTACAAAAAATAATAAATATATATTGATCCATTATATGATTCCACAGCATGAAATAAAAAATGATACTGTAATGATAAATTGTGTATTAAATACGCTTCAATGTTTACAATAATTTACAAAAAAATCCTCGTGAAACTCTGCTGAGAGAACCACCAGTTGTTCATGTGTAATTTAATGTGTCATTTCCCTGGTTGGAAAGAATGGCTAATGTCAGGGCAAAGTCGCTAATGTCAAGCAAATGTCACTGCATAATGCCACTTTAGACATGACTGACCTACCAAGTCCTCATCCCTGACAAAACTGAGAAGTGACATATTTTGGCAATAAATGAATAATGTAATTTGGGCACTTACCAAGTATGTGAAACTCTTAGCGAATAATAAGAATAACGAGAAGCTAAGCCAAGCCTGTGTAAAGCTGCACAACTGTGAGCTAACTACTGAGGCCAGTGTGCTATCACATCAGTGTTTAGTTTATTGTGTTAACATTCAGTCGAGGCTGATGGACATGTCTTTGGTTTTGTAGGTTTGCAATTTCAACTAGATGATGGCACTAGATGAAAAGCTGCGGATCATCGAAACTCCAACAATCCATGCAATAGAT